TTAGGCACCAGTAGGTGGTATATCATACTCGAGCTCCGCCGTTACGAGGAAACTCTGGAAACCATGAACACCAAACACGGGCCTGGAGTGTTTGGGTTACAAAGACCAGTCATGCACATGGGAGATCAGGACATGTAAGCAAAAAACAAACCAAAAAGTAGTTGCCGTTACCGTGTGGAATGGCTCGTTATCTTCAGTACGTTCACATTTTGAGATGTGTCAGGTGTCCATGGTTTTCGGAGTTTTAAACAAGCTTGAGAATCAATAACGATGTCCTTGACATAACTCCTTACCTCATTTTTAAATTGAAAAACTTTTAGCCATTTCTTCCGCGTTTTTTACTAAAGAAAAAGAAAATTCCACCATTTTTAAATCCATTTTTTTTCAATTCATTCAATCATTCATTTTCTGCTTTGAACTTAACAGACAAAAAAACTCTTAACAAAGAAAGACAAAAATATGGGAACCTCAGGTCCCTGGGTTGTCTGATGGCTCAACCTAAGTCCAACTCTTAAACTGATTGACGGCCTTCTTACAGGTTCGTTCCTCATTTCGATCCTCGGTAATTAATAAGTTGCCTTACTTATGGTTTTTCCTGCTTGACAATGATAATCCACTTGAAGGTACTTGTGTGTCTTTCCACAAGGATTTCCAAATGCTTCATTGGACGCTTCGAGTTCACAAACGTTTTGACCATTGCATTTTTTTTTCACCATCTGATCTGACTTTGGAGACCTGCAGAAAAATTAAAGATGGAAGGAAAATGACAAGAAACAACAAAGAATTAAACCAAAGAGAAAAATCAGGGAGGTGGAAAACAACGAGATAGGAAGTTTATATGGGAGACTAAAAGTGACGGTTTTCAAAGTCTCGATTAACAAACCCTTCTTAATCTATTTCTGCCACTGGGCTGTCATATTTTTAGCACTACCACGATTCAATGACTTAGTTTGTCAATGTTGGTGAAGCTGTTCACTTATTCACTTACTTGCATTGGTTGTTTTCAGCTAGTTGTCCTCCGCATGTCCATTTATCTGTTCTTCCGTAGTTAGCATCGACAACTTGTATAGTTTGTGTCTCCGGACATGTAATATTTTCCGGTGGATTGAACTCGCAAATGGATTTTTTAATCATCTCTGTCGAGTGTAACAATTGCAAAAAAAAAACATATGAACACTGTGTGGGGAAAGCTTGTCTGACTGGAAAATAGCTATATTTTATGGAGAGTACACTGAGAAAGAAAAGATTCGATTATTAACCACCAAGGATAGAATAAGCAGCTCTATATTGAGCTCAGTTTTTCAAGAATCTTACTATATGTGACAACATTTAGTAGCAAATTATGCTTTTTTTTCTTTTGTAATCACACCTTGTTTTATTTCCACTTTTGCGACAATGATAAAACTCTGAAGTAGGCAGATTAGCACTTCCTGATTTAGTTTTATGGAGACGGCACCAGAGGCACCAACACCTTACCTGACTTGCAGAGGTAATAAACTTGTAAGTACTTCTTTACTCCGGCGCATTCTGGAGGATCTCCATACGCATCTTTGCTCGACTCCAGCTCACAGGTATTAGAATCGTCGCAAGTCTCCTGCACCATGGACAACACGGTGTCAAAGTCGACTTTGCAAGTGACGTTGATAAGCTGCTCACCGTCAATGCAGATGTCATTATGCTGCCGTCCATAACTCGCCCAAATCGTAGATAAGACGTTTTGCTTCGGGCAGGTTAGAGTCCTTGCCGGTTCACCATCGCATATAGTCTCCACGAAGAATTCTTTGAGTGCAAGGGAAAGAAGAAATTATGAGTGACAATCAGATTATTAAGATTTACATTACAACGAGAGCGTAAGGCGAAGGAAAGCTTACAAATAGGCTTGCCAATGAAATGGCGAAACTTTACAATTGCTGAGAGTCAGCCAAACTTTTTCTCACAGCTGGGTAACTCAGTCTGAGAGATTCCTATTCATGAGCACTGCATTTTTTTCTTAGGTTTTCGTAAGTTTCACAAACCGAAAATAGCTCGACACAGTTTATGGCCATTGGAAATTCAAGCTGTAATCATTTATTAACGGGGCTGGTTTACATAGAGTATAAAAGCAATAATGAATTTCTTTTTGATATAGAATAATAAACCTTCTTTTGACGAACTCACATTTAGGAAAAAATAAAACACAAACAACAAACAAACTAAGGCATTGTTCCATAAAATCTGTCAAGTATTTTGGCAATTACCACTTGCTAGTTCTGCTTCGTGGACAATGGCAATCGTCAAAAACGCAAAAATAATAACAGCAGATGTACTGGTCTAAAAGAAAAGTGAGACATCATGGTGAAGTTGAGCGCTAAGGAAGAGATAGTGGAGAAATGTTTCATAAAGAATATGAGGAAATTACAGTCGAACACTCGCTTGATTCATAAACTTATCCAAAAAGATTTTGTACAAATACTTGCTGACTATTATTTACGAAACAGTAAATAATGTGTTTGCTACATGTGTCCATTTTCTCTCAAAAACAAAAACAGATCATGAAGCCATGATAACATAAATATAAATTTGGAATTCTATGAAAAGGATAAGACCTTGATGCGTTTACCTTCTCTCTCGAGACTACCATCTCCTTTGGCTATCAATACGACAAAATATATATAATGTAACTGCTTAGTAACAAAAGTCACTTGAATCTGCTCTCTGTTTTTTGAAATTATGTCGCCTGTTTTCTTAAAAGAATCATTTATTCTGTCACCCAACAAGTGTCTCACTCGATGAATAGAAAACAAGTTATTCGTTAAGGACACCCGCACAACAATGGCAGGACAACCAGCTAAACTGACAATGAAAGGACCACTCCTCAAACTTATTTATTTATTTATTTTTTTGATATTTATACCAAACAAAGAGCACCAACCAAGGCGATTGAATTTCCCCGTAGAAGTCTTGTTTTTTAAGTTATCCTATAGCATTACTATCGTCATCGTCATCGTCATCATCATCACGACGACCTCATTCAGACTTCCATCGCAAGAGGTCTCCATACAGTCACGACTCTTATCGCGTACGAGCTGGTCTTTGCTTAAACGGATTCTCTTTCGGTTGGCTGGTAAATTTGCGTCTGAGCCAGCTGTCCACAACTACTTCGTTTTACAGGAGGAGGAGCCTGTAGTATTATCTTGTGAGCAACTTCCTGCTCACGATCAGCGTTCCGCCAATAGTGTCTAGAGAAGCATCTATTTCCGACGTTGGTTTCCCTTCTCTTAAGGTCACAATAGAATGTTCCCATTGGTGACGCCTCTGAGTCATCCCATAATCTGTGCCGCTCTAAACACTAACTTCTTCGCTCCAACATTAACTTCTTCGCTTCAAACATTAACTTCTTATCCACGGCAATTATGAGAGACCCTGTACCTGATCCATACAGTAAAATTGGCTCTGCAATAGCTTGGAAAACTAAACTTGCACGTTCCTTTGCAACGGCTATTTTCTAAAGTTTAGACCAGGCTTCAGCAAGTTTTATTTCATTATTAAGCGTAGATCAATGCGAACCTTCAACCCCCGGGTATTTGAACTTTTGAAGATTGGTTTGTTCAATTACTCGCCCCAAGAGTCAAAATTGCGTTCAAATGGCCCACCCATTATTAAACGACTGTTTTTGTGATCGATAGGCCTGTCCCGATTTTGCTTGTAAAAAGCTGAAGAGTTGCCCGCTGGAATGTCAAAACGTTGCTAAAAAATTGCCAAAAATCTAAAAAGTGCGACCTAAATTACAAAAGCTGCCACTTAAATTTCTTGATATTTTCACGGAACGTTAAAGTAAACGAAGGTAAAAGTTTTATTTCTCGTTCTTCACAATAACTGCTACCTTGGCTTGAAACCTGGCTTTAAAAAGTTGTTCGCACGTATGGGTGACATTTAAGGGCACTCAATTTGCTAACGGAACACTGACACAAGGTTCATTTGACGTCTTGCCAAATGATATGAGGGCACTTGAACGAACCTAGCTCTACTGATGATTCGAAAGGTTGATCATTATTCAAGAAATTCGCATAAATTGAAGTTTTCTTTAAAATCGTTGATTTTTTTGCGCTTAATATGTGCTCTAAACCTGGATATTGCTGAAAAAATGCTCAGAAGGACAAACGTTGCTCGAGGTTGCTAGGGGTTGCTCCCAACTGCAAAAAGCTGCTCCAAACGCCAAAAGTTGCCGAGCACAAGCGCGACAGGCCTAATGATCAACGAATATTGTAGAAATTAGCAAAGTCACGTATTTTTCCGCTTGTTAGCATCATTCTAAAACGTGAAAATTTTATTTCTATGCCATTCACTCCCGAAAGCAGACTGACTCTCTACCTTTAAACACCTTCATAAAAACACGCTTATTACGCTAGAAAGACTTTTCACCTCCGCTTCAAATTTCCCACTCCACCCAGGTAAGGTTCAAATTTTCCACTCCTGGGCACGGAAGACAGTCGAATGCCCGTGGGTTGTCTAGAGGGGAGGGATGCTGAAGCTTCGAATTGATCGGCGCATCACTCTCACTTGAAGTTATCACAGCTCCAGTATGCAGAGTATGAACAAGCTCTCCCCTGAAATAGTTCTAACCTACGTGTAGCCGTACTTTCCCCCTCCCCCCCACCAAAAAAAAAGGTGAAACGGAAGCGAGGGAAAGTCTACGCAAACCTGACACCAATCGTGTTCCGTAACGTCACTCTAACTTATGCAATTAATGGCATTTGATGATATTTTTTTTGCGAAGCGGCACGTGTTAGCTTGAAGGTTACCGAGATAAAACAACAATACTGAAGTGAATTCATTTTCCGTTTTTCGGGTAAATTTGCGATTTAGCGTCCGATTTCAAATATATATTTTGCTTTAAGGATATAGGAAAAGATAATGAGCGATTTTTGGTATAGATAAGAAGAGGAAGATGTTCGATTAGCATCGCGCTTACGAAACTAGATTTCAACGTTTACGCAGTTTCTGCTTACATTTGTAAACAGTGCCACGGTCGACGAAAAAACTTGGATAAATTATCCCAGAGTCTCAAGGTTTTTACAGATTTCTTTAGTTGAAAGAGTGACTCTTATCTCAGTCGAAAGAATCGCTGCAAGAAACAACTAGCTTTAATTTAAATGTCTGACTCGTCCGGCAGCCGGACACGGTCTTGATAAAGCCTTGAAATTGTGAAATATCTATATACGCTCATGCTTGAACAGGATATTGGAACGTTAATAATGTATTCTCTGTCGAGAATTTCAAGACTGGCCGAATTTAGCCAGTTTCAGGAAGAACAACAGAAAGCCATAAATATCTTTTTCCAAAGTAACGATATCTCCGTTTCGTTACCAACTGGCTATGGAAAATCTTCAATATATCAAGCAGCGCCATTGATCAATCGGCTCTCCTCTCTAGAAGAAACCGGTCTCTATATCTATTGTGCCGCCCGCCGATCGTTAAAGCTCTCACAGAAGACCAGGTGTACCATTTTAATGTACTTGTGCCAAGAGGATTGTCCGCCTAAAACCTTCGGTCTCTTTGCGAACGGTGCTGTGAGGCTATTTAAACACAAAACCCGTGTCATCAACATGTACAATCTATGGGATCCGACCTTATCTAACTTTTATTTTCAAAAATATTTTCTACTTGGCTTTTTGCTCTTTGTGCAAGTATAATATACTGATTTGATTCCATAGAATTTAATTCACGTTTTCGAAATCATGAATCATCAATAATTAATAATAGAAGTAAAATACGATGGAATGAAATAGAAAAAACTACAAACAGGCTATTGGTTTCAATCATCGGACAAATCACCTTAACCAAACTAGTTTACTGCCATGAAAAATCTTATCAATATCCCATTGTTGATTTTAAAGTATCATGCTAAAAAAAAGATGAGCTTGGCTCATCTTAAATCGTTTTATGTAGAAAACAGGAGGAACGACCAAAGGCTACATATTTCTCCAGTGGCCATTGTCATTTTAATTTGACGAAACTACTTTGTGCAGACAACACACGTCAGTTCATGCCCATGGATGTACGGTCCGCATGTTAAGGCGTGTCCACAATCTCCCTGTGCCATATACAAAAGGGCTCCATTTGTGTCGCTGTGGCTTCCAGGTATAGCCTCTGCACCCTCGTCAATGCATACATATTCACTGGGGTGGGCGTGGTCATAGTGTGAGCTCATCAGATACCCCTTGTATTCTCTGGCCCATCCCGAGGGGCACTTATTTGTTCCAGGTATCATTATTTGGGAGCCACGTTTCCTGACGTAACACACAGCGCACGGTGCATCATGCTGGTCTAGGTTCGAAAGGCCTGGGAACCCAGAGGTTTGATACTCGGTGCCATAGATTGCTGCTGTACCTTGCCAGCCAGCAATGACTTTTCCATAAATTGGATTGTCGGTGAGACAAACGAAGTTTGTTCCGCCACCAGTGTGTGTATAATATCCACTGCCCATAAATCCTACCAAAAAATGAAAAAAAGACAGAGCCTTGAGCTAACTTCAGCCTTTATATCAGTTTTAAAGTCACTTATAGTTTTTTTCTAAGACTTGATATGGTTTGTTTGTTGTTTTATGCGTTCTGCTTGTCTGTTTTTGTTGTTGTTGTTTTTTTCTGCTGCTCCTGTTTTTTTATTTGTTTTGCCTTTTTTCCTTTTATGGCACAATATTTGGGGTCTCTTCATGGGTGTACTGATCTGTTAAAATAATATCAACGAGAGAAAAGTGGTGGTTTTTAATCAAGAACAACATCCTGACAACATCCGAGAACAACTTGAATTCCTCGGGTCACCAACGTTTCTTTCCTCCCTACCTCTGTACACTAAAGTTGCATCGCCAGAGCAGTTCTTTCGTCCCCAGCGGTTGTAACTGACACCTGACAGCCCATATCCTTCTTGTCCTTTTTTTCCTTGAGGGCCAGGAGGTCCCTGGGGTCCAGTACTTCCCGTTCGGCCGACGTCACCTCATCAAAATACAAAGTTATCAGCGTGTAATGCTTTGGTACATTAGCCATAAAGACGCTTAGTGTTGGTTTAGAAAATCTCCATCTTTTAGGCAACATTATAAAACCGGTAGGTTTGATTGATAAGGTTAATGTCTTTTGTTCATTTTTTTTTTCTTTCGGAGGATTTGACTTACTTCAGCTTAATATGAAGAAAAATTGTTTAACCAGGCAAAATTTAACTTAGCACTGCGTCATCCCTAGAGGCTAAAAACAAATTAGAGTCATGTATTCTGCTTGTTTCCCTTAAAGAATGTTTTTTTTTTAAATTTTGTTAATTTTAAATTTAATTTAGAATCAAGGAAGTCGTTTAGCTGAAAATCTTACGTTAACCGATCGCAACCCTTAATTCCATGATAATACCTTTTGGTCCCGGAAGTCCTCTCGGTCCTGCGGGTCCTTCTCTTCCATCCCGTCCTGGAAATGGATTTTGATAATATGATATAATACACTTTAGTTACTTTTATTTGAAACTTAAGTCGTAATAAAAAGAAAAAGGGAAAATTGACTTATTTTGCTGACAATGCGCGGCAAGAGAGATAAGTCTCTTTGGTATGGAGACAATTTACCAGACAAATTGTGATCTTATTCATGTTAACTGCTGAATAAGAGGTATTGTTGCTTTCTTTTCTGTTTTTTTTCCTTTTTTTTTTCTCTTCTGGCGTTTATTATTATCACTTTCTGGCGTTTATCATTATCACTTTCAGCATTTCCATATGCATGAATGTCGTTCTTTTTTCGTATCATTATTATCAGCATAATATTATAATTATATTACCAGCAGGTCCAGGGGAGCCTGACATGCCATCTCTTCCGTCTCGACCTGAAAAAGTTTTGAAGCGAAGATTTTAAGCGCATTTGATCATACATTTTAAGTAATTTGCGTAGTATTCACTATAATCATTATGGAAGACAAAATTGCACGGAATTACTGGAATAATCAAATGTTTGTTCATTCCACACTGATTGGCGTGACATCTTGAGCATGGAAATGGATCTGTGGATTGTGGAGTAAATATATCCGAATAAATTGACTCATTTGATAAATGATATGAACTGATCGAAAATCTTTCTACTAGAAGTTTTTCGATTAAAGTTATCTAGAAGAATATCACGCCATGTGTATTTTGTGTGACATTGGCCATTTTGACAATTTCAATCGGCGTCGATTTTTATCAGGCTTTTTTTGAGACATTATTTGAATACTTTTAATAATCATTGGTTCCTTGAAGAGAGGAAGAACAACCATGCTGTAAACGAAGGAAAAAACGATAAAAGCCAAATAAAAGTACATACAAGTGAATAAGTTGTCATCAAATATGATGATAAGAAGAGACGTTTCAAGTTTATTGAAAGATACTGTCGCAAAAATAACTGTCAAACAATCAAAGTACTTATGATAGCAACAATGAGCACATATTATTCTTAACTCACCTCCAAGGGAAGACTTGAGACGCAATTCTTTCAAAAGGTTATCTGTCCTGCAAAGGAGATAATTAAAGGACATCTGGAGCATCTAAAATTTAATATCCATGAGCATTCATTTATTCACGAGATGAGACCCTAAGGGGCCCAATAATTGAACAAACCCTCTCTTAACCTTCGCCTTCAGCACTTTCTATCTTTAATTTCCTCCTTCCTTATTGTTCAGTGTAGGAACATCTCTTCCCTTTTTCGTGTTGTCAGTGCTGACTCTCGGGCCAATACTTGCGTGACGGTCATCGGAGAAAACGTAATTTGGTATCTCTTTACGTGATGTGTATGTTTATAGACTAACAAGATGCGAACACATATTCATTACATCCGCTATCTTTGTTTACACGTGGCTAAATCAACTTCCGCGATGCAACGGGCGGTGATTTGTCTGCTCCATAATGTAACACACTTTACCTGCTCTCCAGTGCTACAAGTTTCTTGGTGAGATCTGACAAATTAGTCTTAGGATTAGCACTTCTCCTGTGTCTTGAGGAGCTTAGCAGTCCGTTTGTCTCCATCTCAGACTGGGTGTACTCCGAACGTTTCTTTGAAATTTCATTCAGCTTTTTCTCAACTTCCTTAAGTCGTCTTTCCGTAGAGGCCAAAGTAATGAATTGAAATATTACACACGCAATCAGGCCCGCTATCACCACAACGAGCAAAGGGCTAGCTAGTTTTGCCAACGGATAACGTTGGTCAGGTTTTCGTTCCTTATCTGGGATTTTCTCCATCACGGTAAACGAGCGAGCGACAAAAACACGGCAGTGTACCAAAGTTCTGATAAAAGGAATTCTTACTCCACTTGTTTGACTTAAAGTCGGCTCGAGTGAATGATTAGTGTACGTGATGACGAACCTAATTCTTTAAAAATGCTTCAGTACTTGGGGAAGTAGGTTTCGTTTACATCGATCATTTGTTCACTTCCTTGAGCTCAAAGTACAGCGAGTCTTAGATTTTCACACGTGGGATATCTGTGATAAGCTGGTGCGTACTTTGAACTAAAATGTCGAGTCCCTCAACAAAGCCATTAGTTTTTTTAAAATATGTTGCTTGTCATTCACCGTTCCTAAAATATCGTGATTTAAAGACAGTTCGCCTGTCTTTTGCTACTGTTTTCATCTTTCTCTACAGTTAATTGCAGTTGTATGTGTAGTATGACTTGTCATCATCTTTCTCTTTTGTCCTTTTTGTGTTGGTTTAGCTTACTAGTGAATATACAATATATGCTCCCGTTTTAAAAAATGTTGAAATTTAAAAATATGTATGAATATTTATACCTTTTCTTTTTCCATTAAAAGATGATGACATTATAAATTATAGGGACAATTTTCATAACGAAAGTACAATCGCTGTTGTCAAAATGACAAGCAGCACTCCCAAGTAGTAAATGAGTTTAATGAAGCTATGTTTATTTATAACTATGAATCTGTAAAATTCAGGTAACACACAATCTGCACTCGTCATTAAGTCACGATACCTGCTCTCTAGTGCTCAAGTCTCTTGGTAAGATCTGAAAAATTGGCCTTTAAATCAGCATTTCGCCTATATCTTGCTGAACTGAGCGATCCTTTCTTCTCATTTTCGGGCAAATTGTGCTCAGCACCTTTTTTCGAATTTTCTTTCAGCTCGCTCTCAACTGACGCCATTCGCCTTTCCATCGAGGTTAATGTGACAAACAGAAACACTATACAAACGATTAGGCCCAAAATCATCTAGAGAGCACGAAACAACCTAATTTCTATGACGGGAAACTTTTGGAAGGTTTACGTTTACATCTGCAACTTGTTCCATAACGGTAAACGAGTGAATGACAAACTCAGCACCTTGGCGGTTACTAGTATCGGCTTTCAGATGAAAGAGGAAGAATTCTTCAGTTGTCGTGTTTTCTCTGTACTGATTCCGACTGACCGGTACATCAGTGTGAAGTATGAGAGTGAGTGATTCGAAACCTGTAAAGAGCTTGCTTAATATACCGGAAATAAGGTTTCATTTACATGCATGTCTCTGTCAAAAAAAAAAAAGAAGAAGCAGGTCGCACTAGCTGAGCCATTATGAGCAGTGGTATGAGGTTATCTGTTTGCCTTACTTAAGAAGATCGTATCTTCGGATGTGTTGAGCATTTTTCAAATGAGTCTCATAAAACCCAACAAAAGTAGTAACAACGGCCAACCAGAGCGAAGTGAAGTATGGTAAGGAGCAAATGAAAAGTCAGAATCAAAACAACAAAACAACCTGAAGAGCGGGAAATTGCAAGTGACTAGGTCACAATCGGTGTCACTCTTTGCAACTTATTTGGTTGAGGTGGCAGGAGCTTCAGAACCAATTAAAAAGCGGAGTAAAGCGAAAAAGGGGCACTCTAGAATTACATTCGACAAATATTGACTTACCAACGGTTATTACAAATAGCTGTGACTCAGACAACCAATTCCACGGATTTTTTTTTTCATGCAGTTTTGACAGATACGTACTGTTTGTTTCTTCATCCAAACGGAAGTTGGCAATTTCTGACGATAGCGGTTATTGCTCCCAAAAAACAAATTTATACTTAGCCCGCAAATTCGATGCGCGGATTGTTTGCGTGAATCGGAACTGTACAGGAACTTCATGTACCTGCATTAACAACCAGTTGACACAAAACCGAATTTGGAAATGAGAAACCATATGATGTAAATTTTATCATTAAAGTATGGTTAGTAACTTCTTGTGTCAAATGAAATTGTACGGTTGCAAAATTTTCACCCCACTAATGGTTCAGTGGAACGACATTTTCGACAAATTTCTGGGTGAGAAATTGTCCACGACTGGTGATCAGTGTTAGAGACAAAAAGAAAGAAATCTCATCAAATATCGAGTAATCTTGAACTTATTTAGTCTATAACAGAGAATAAGCCGCATTTGTCTTATCAAAAGTTTTAGCGACGAGAAGAAAACGTGTCAACAACACATGCCGGGGAAAACGTTCTGGAGTAAATTTTCTTTAATCTTTACAACCTTTTTGAGAAGTGTGTTCGTCAGGTACTAGATCTACACGTACACACCCTTCAAAGTCACCTCTTTTGTGTTATGTGATAGGGAATTAGGAAGCAGAGGAACATTCAAAGATTAACTAAGACTATCATTTATCGAAAAAATGTTTTTAGAGCACAGAAACCATCCCAGTTGACTGCAATGAAACTATTAACTTGATAATGCATTGTTTGAGTACTAGTTTCACCGCTTCAGTGGAGAATAAATTCAACTTATTATATATTAACAAAGTGGCCTACTAACATAGGATGGTTTTAATTGTCTCATATTTCCTTTTGAAAAGAAAACCTGTAAGTTATGTTAAAGATGAATTACACCCTTGTGTAACTTAAAGCCAATTGGCTGTTTAACTTCAGTGTTAAGGGCAGGTTACAAAATAAAGGAGTGTGTGAATTTGAAAGTTTTCAGTAGATTACAACAGTGTGTAGATGTTGTGAACTGAAGCAAAGAGGCGTGGGAAAACTTAACCCTGCCAGTAATTTCAACGAAATTACGAAACTGAAAAGCCAAACATTACAGGGCATATTGAAGTGTCGACAACATTCTTTTTTTTGTGGGAATTCGATAGGACTACTCATTCAAGAAACGTTTGGCGATTGATCGCGTAACTTTGGGAGCAAGCTATGGCTGCTGTGTTTTTTAAGTACACAACTGATAAGGCGAAATTTCCAAGTAGAGATCAAACCTTTGGCTACAAAAAGAGGTCAGTGGAAGCTTTTTTGACAAGCAATGGTTGGTATTCAGTTAGCAACCAAGTGTTTCATTCCGGTCCTTCGTACGGCACGGCTAAAGAGCAGATGTTATCACAAGCTAAAGCACTGCGAGACATTGAAGAGCTCGTTAAATGGAGACCCTCATTAAGGGAATTCTTCAAAGATACTTTAATAATAGTGGGTCAAGTTTACGACATTGATTCCTTGTTGAAAACTCCCGATGTGGATAAGAAACCCACCAAAAAAGAGAAAAAGGGCAAACAAGCAGTGAAGCTCAATTTGGAATCTAGGGAGGAATGCTCCGTCAAGGAAAACCCCGTTTCTCTCAACGACGACTCAAAATCTGAATTAAAAAGTGCTAATGAGACAACCAAACCCGTAAAATTTGATCATTCGGGCGTGACAAGCCCAGAAAGCCTGCAACTCAAGAATGTCTCTCGTCCTTCCCGAAATCGCCGAATGGGATCTGCCTCGAAGGTGACGAGCCGACCAATTGTAAATTATCCTAAAGCACCCGTCAAAACAGCCAAGAATAAAGCAACCACAAGTATGTTGATTTCTGGTCGTTGTTCAAGCGATATCAACTCAAACCTTTTGACTGCCCTTGAATGCGGAGCAGAACTGGTCTATGACGAAGACGACATGACCCCGTTGTATCTCCCGTGTTTGGAAGATGAAGAAGAGGAAGAACGGTTGGTTGAAGAGGGGCAGCCGTGTCGGTGCCGAGAGTATGGCGGCTTTCATGTGGAGACTTTCGTCAAGATGGATAGTTGTGTGAGAAAACTCTGTTGCACAAATGTAAATGTGGACCCATCAGAGCGAGTTGTGGTCTGATGTTTAAAAACTACAAACAAAACGTTATTGACCCTCTAAATACCACATCCTTTATATCATCATATTGATGCTCTAGTGACTACTTTAAAATAATTTTATGGAAACTTATGAATCCGTTCACAAATGGTTAACAAAATACAACTAATGGGTCACTTCGTTCGTCAGTTAACCAGCTTTTGAGCAAGAAATTAGCAATCATCCCGTCGGTCAGCATTGCGATTGTACTCGAGCGACTTTATTCCGCGCCTCTCCACTAATCCTAGTGAGGCGTTGTTGTTCAATAAATGAACGCATGTAGTAGCCTGTCTATCTGATCATTCGGTTGATGGGTCAGTCGGTCAATAAGCGGTTTGATAGTTTGGTAAAATATTGTTCCGTCAGTTTGAGAGGATCGGCAAAGAAAAATAGGGAAATGGAGGAATGTGCTTTTAGACTAGCAAGTATTATAAAACGCCACCAACCTCAACGACAATGAGGCGAAGGTTGAGATATATATTTTGGTTCACTGACTTGCGTCAATGATTCACAACTGGATTAGTTTTACAACGAATTCTTTTTATATCAATTTTGGTCTTGACCATGAAATGTTTAAATGTCATGAGTAAGGCCGGAATAAAAATAAGTTATTGAGCACGAGTTTTGAAACGTAATAGCTCGAAAAGTCGTCAACAAGTTGTCATGCATTGCGAAACGAACCACACGTTGACCACCAGAGGGCTGTTGAAGAAAAGAAAAAAGGAAAACGTGTTCTTCAATTTAAAGGAACACATTTATTGCCTTAATGTAATGCACATGTCTGTGGATCAAATTTCAGATCAAGTTGGCAAGCGAACGTACATGTAATTTTACCTGCGCCAATCACCAGTAATATAAAGATTTAAAATTTACTATAATCGATCAATCGTCATCGTTGTAAAGAGAATATAAGAAAATCATATGTTTCATAAATCTAAAAATCATTTAAAACATTAAAGACAGATCAGTCTACTCTGAAACAAATCTTGTAAAAGCAGAGAAAGATGTTATTCCAATTTCATGAACGTGAGGCTGGGGAAGATCTAAGTTCTCAAAGAGGAAGTGATTCTCAGAACTTCACATATCGTGGTCCGACGATCTACCAAATAACTCGCTGGTGGGCCAGGCCAAGTTCGACGTCCAAGCAACGCATGTGAAGAAATTTCGGTATACTGCCTGGATTGGAAATGT